ATAGACATAAGACACAGTAAGCAATAGTCTTTAAAATGATAGACATAAGACACAGTAAGTAATAGCCTTTAAAATGATAAACATAAGACACAGTAAGTAATAGCCTTTAAAATGATAAACATAAGACACAGTAAGTAATAGCCTTTAAAATTTTAGACATAAGACACAGTAAGTAATAGCCTTTAAAATTATAAACATAAGACACAGTAAGCAATAGTCTTTAAAGCAATAGACATAAGACACAGTAAGCAATAGTCTCTAAAGCAATAGACATAAGACACAGTAAGCAATAGTCTTTAAAACAATAGACATAAGACACAGTAAGCAATAGTCTTTAAAACAATAGACATAAGACACAGTAAGCAATAATCTTTAAAACAATAGACATAAGACACAGTATGCAATAGTCTTTAAAGCAATAGACATAAGACACAGTATGCAATAGTCTTTAAAGCAATAGACATAAGACACAGTAAGCAATAGTCTTTAAAGCAATAGACATAAGACACAGTAAGCAATAGTCTTTAAAACAATAGACATAAGACACAGTAAGCAATAGTCTTTAAAACAATAGACATAAGACACAGTAAGCAGTAGTCTTTAAAGCAATAGACATAAGACACAGTAAGCAGTAGTCTTTAAAGCAATAGACATAAGACACAGTAAGCATGACACTATTTGTCTTCAGCATCTTCAACCAATACAATGATGGATCTTATAGACATTCTGGAAGATGTTTCAATTAGATAGTCTAGTTATATAAAGTACTCTCATCATTAGAAATAAGAGAATAGCAGACAATTCACTTTGAAACAATACAAATTTAAGACAGGTAAATAACTTTACATAAACTCAACTAAATAACACTTTAAAGATTAGTAATCAATATCACCAATACAATTAATTCTAACAGAACTTTGTATTTGATTATTGTGTAGATAATATCTGATGTTTTAAAATCTTTTTTTCTTCTTCTACATTATAGCTATTTCTGCTCACACAAGCTACTGTAATTTTCCAAATATATTCTGTATTTTTTCACTAAAGATTTATCTAAACATTACGGTGCATATAATACATGGTAACAAATCTAAATGTTTTTTTTACAGCCAGTCCAGACCATCTTTTCCAAGCAACAATGTATAGTTATTAGAAATATTGTTTTGATGGTATGTCGTATTAAATTCTCTCCGTTTCTAAGGCATAAATGAGAAATGTCTTCCATTTTCATTCATTTTCAGTATCTTTGAACAAATGACCAAGAAGCTAACTCTCGTGATTTCTAAAATTTATTTATATGCACAGTTAGAAATGTTTAGAAAAAACAAAACTGGTTATCACTACATTGCATTTGTATATTCAAAACCACAAATCACCATCCTCAATTAGCTAGCACAACTTCCCTACTGTTTCGTCATCACCATGGATGTTGTCTTCATCTTCAGAACTATCAATGGCAATTGTGCAGACAACACTTCTCAAAGCTATGTTCAATCAGTACTTCAAAAGTCTAGGCATTTATTATTTATGGTGATAAGGCAGATTTGACTCTTTGTTCACAAAGAATACAGTATATTTGGGAGTGTATCAAGTTTGGAAAATTACAATATATTTTATCACAATGAAATGATTCACTGGATATCACGTACGTCTTAAAATATGGTCTTGATTAATTTAATACTTTGTGGTAAGAAAAAAATCTCTCTCAAATATTTTGTAAAGTATTGTTATTTTCTTGAACAAAACAGAAGAATAAGGTAAATTAAGTAAAATATAAAGCTTAATACTAAATATAAAGGTAGAAACTTCACAACACACCTGAAAATAAACCCCTCCTTTTACTTTTGCTTCACCATTATCACTATAGTATACAAGGGCATGTTTGGTACGATCAAAGACAAACCACCGTTTCTTCCATATCTTTAAGGCCCCACTTAGCTTCTGCAGATAACCTCGACAGGCCGTAGAAGTTACGTGCACGTGAGGACACAACTCAATCTGATGACCGGCCGTCTCGATGTGAAGCCGCAAATTGAACTCTGACTCACGGACTGGGAGATAGCGAGTCAGGGGACGCTGAGATTTGAGTTTCTCTCTTTTCTTGATTTCCTCATGACTTGGTTCGCAGGAAACATCTATGGAAGACTTTTCATCGTTATGATAAATTTCTGGATCGATTTGTAGGATCTGCTGTAAAAAAACAAAATACCTAGTGAAAATGGGTTCCTCAAATCAAGCTTATAGTAAAACATTGTGGCAACTGATTACGATTGAAAAATTAATGTTTAGATGGATTCTCTCACAAATCCATGCAAAATACCAGAACTTCCTATCACCTGTCCTACAAAACCTAGCATAAAATTGGGACACTTACATGTCACAAACAATCTTGTTGAAACTATTATCAGGAACACTTACATGTCATAAACAATCTTGTTGAAACAATTATCAGGAACACTTACATGTCATAAACAATCTTGTTGAAACAATTATCAGGAACACTTACATGTCATAAACAATCTTGTTGAAACTATTATCAGGAATACTTACATGTCACAAACAATCTTGTTGAAACTATTATCAATTATATCTACAACGTTTAAGACATTTATGGATAGCGTACTGTAAAACAAAATCTCATTTTCAACCCACTGACTGCTGAATTGCCTTATATGGTATGGTCTGCCTCAGGCAGTTGAATGCGAGTGTGTCGTATACGGTGTACAGCTGTGTTTTAGTGAACTAGCATTTTGTAAAATATAGTCACATTTCAATTATTATACATTATATATGTATATAGATTATTGCTATTTAGAAATAATTTCTTAAACTTATTTTTCTTAAAACATAGAACAGTAAATAATAAGTAAAGCAAACAATTATCTCTTCTAGTTACGACCTTTGTACTCACTTGCTGCTTGACGTAGGTTGCTAAGCCTTCTACAGTTTTGCACATGGAAGACATGAAACAAATTAATTCTTTTAAGTTATATATACACCTGTAAAAAAGTTAAGCACCCCCAAGTATTTTTCAGGATTGCTTATTGAAAATAAGGTTTAATTTTCATGATGTTGAGCAATGTTCATAATTTCAAACATAATTAAAAGGAT